TTAACTGTTAGGTTTTCACTAAAATTTTATATTTAACACAAAAATGGGTTTAATTGACTCCAGCACATGATGCCTTTTTTGAAAAATAAAGACAATCTCTATATAAGTTTCCATTTTAGCGACATTAATAAGCATATTAAATTTCCATCTTTAGAGAAATTAACAGGAAAAAATAGATTGATAAATGTTACATTTAAAAGACTTAAATTGAAAGATTAGAGTAAAATATAGTCACATCCCTTTTATTTTACTAAAATTGCATGCAGCTCCATTCTATTTTTAAAACCTACACTTTAATTCAATTTTTAACGTCATCAGAAATATTTAGTTAAGAATTCTAAAATACTCAATTTTTCATTTGAAACAATGTCAAAAAATTTTGAAATTATTAATTTACCCTTATAATCTAATTGTCAACTCTCGCTCCCAATTTAAAGAATTTTAAATAATAAAGTATGACAAATTTAAATAAATAATTTTAAAACATTTTATTAAATTTAATAAAATTCTAAAAAGAAACATAAATTATAGGGTGAATTTCAAATAAGAATAAGAAATGTGACATAATTACTAGTGGGTATCAAAAAATTCTAAAATTTTAATTTACTTCAAGGGGATAAAAGTGAAAATAACTTCAACTGTGAAAAGACCAAAATATTCATCACTTGTTATGTAGAATTACTAATTATTAATTTTCTTACTTCACTTATTAATTTACCAATATTACTTATCAATGACATCTGTTTGTTAGACAAGTAGTAACATTAGTTGTTAATTTACTAACTTTACTAGTCAATTTACTAATTGTAAATTATTGATAAGTCTTATAATTTACTAATATCAGCTAATAAATTATAAGACCTGTTAGTAATTTACAACTAACATTAGTAAATTCAAAAGTAAAGTTAATAATTTAACAACTAATATTGTTGCTTATGATTGAACAACTGATATCAAGTCTTATATAATTATTGACATGTCAACTTATATAATTCATAACTCACATTAGTAAATTAACATGTGAAGGAAGAAAATTAACAAATAATAATTCTACATAATAAGTGATGGGTACTTTGATTTTTTCACAATTAAAATTATTTTTACTTTTATCCCTTAAACTGAATTAAAATTTCAAATTTTTTTGGACCCATTAGTAATTATGTCACTTCCCTAGTCCTTATTTGAAGTTTTTCCATATATTGACTAATTAATTCATCTCTTATTTAAATCCCTATTTCATATGTAGTTGAAATATTATTTTGGCGAACTCCTGTATTTAAATTTTTAAAAAGTACTAAATCAATAAGTTTTCATATTTATTAATTTAAATATGAATACAAAAGTTATAAAAATATGTATTAATTTTTTTGGTAACTTAAATGATTTTTGAACAGTGTCTGTTTTAAAAAGGAGCATTTTGAATCTCGATCCAATATAAGTGATTTAATGATTAACTAATAGTTTGATGGATAGAAATAAAATTTTAAAAGGAGAAGAGAGGTTTGCGTTTTTCAACTATTAATTTTAAAAGCAGTTCTCATAGATTTTAAAAATTAAAGGGATATATCTATGATTAAAATAAAATATAGGCAATCTCAATATATTTTACTCAAAAGATTAATACGTTATATCATACTCTCTAACTTGTAAGTCAATATGTGTCAAAAAAAAAACTTTGTAGGTCATTTAATTGACTAATCGAGTTGATATTCTAAGAAGCTTAGATGCTTGAGTATAAATGAGTAGGATATTCATCATTGAATTTGAACTTAGCGTAACTTGCTTCTAATTTTATCTTATATATTTGCAATCAACTAATTAATCAATTTTGAGTGAAATGGCATTTGAAAGGAGTCAAACTGATTTCAAATTGATATGATAACCACACAACCTACAGATTATACAATAACTAAAATTTTCAATATTATTTATTAAAAGTAAATTCTTTTAATTTTATGTTAAAATATATCTTGTCTTTATAAATTTGTTTAAAACTCATGAGTTTGATAAGTGATGGTCCCTAGGTGGTGATTGGCCAGTATGGTGAGGGAGAGAGTATCAGAGTGGATGAGAGAAATTAGAAAATAGGAACTTGTTTGGTTTTTTTTTTAATATTCTTAAAACAATTATGTGGAACAATATTTCAGAACAAGTTTTGAAAATAAAAAAATTATTTAAATTATTATTTTGAAAAACATAATTAAATTTGTGAAACAAGGGGTAAAAGAATAATTTATCTTATTAACGTAATTGTCATTAACAAAAACATGATATTTTCTGCCTCTTCTCTAATTTTGCATAACAAAACAAAATATTTAAAAGATTTTCTGATTTTTTTAGTTTTTCCAAACATATTTTAAATTTTAAAAAAAGATAACAGAAAATATATTTTCAAACAAAGTTTTTTATTTTTTAAATTTTTCAGAGCAAAAAATTGTTTTGAAAATAGATAATCAAACAAGCCAAGGTTGTTCAATTCTTAAATAAATAATTTGTGAAAAATTCAATTTTCTCCATTGACAAGTTAATTGAGTCAAGTCAAGAATGACATAATTTTAAATTAATTATTAATAACTTAACATCACAAGTATATTTTAACCTTTTGAGCTTATTTAAACTTGTGAATTTGACGATTGTCATTTCAACTAGTAAATTCTCTATTGAATACATACTTTAATTTATTTGGAATGATCCATTACCAATCATCATCCACTTAATTTTTTATTTTTGTGTGAAAGTAGTGACTTCAAAAATGAAAACATTAATCCCCTCTTGACTGTATAAATTGAGAAGAAAAAAAAAAGCCTTATATATAAGTCTTTTTTGTAATTTTATGGAGAATTGTGGACAACCCAAGAAGTACACCACAAAGATAAGAGCATATAAATCTTGAAGGAAAACAAAGTACTTAGTTTAATGAACAAATATGATCAAGTGAAGCTCCTAGCTAATGAAGTAAGGAAGAGGACAATCCTATGTTGTCTTTTACAATATAGTAAGAAAAAATCTCCAATACAGATGTTTCTCTGTTCCTTATATTTCAAGGATTAACAAATAACATTGATCGCTTCTGATGGGCTCTTTGGCTTTTGGTTTGCATACAAGAATTGGTCCTGGAATCACTATCCAATGACAACTCTTTTTGTCTTCCTCCCTCTCTGTTTAGGCCCTTCCTACTATACAAATTAAACTCAAGTGAGATTTATTTTCTAGGATTGTAACCGTCTAAATCAAAATTGAATGATTGAAATTTAATAATATTATTTTTATTTTAATAAGTGCAGGATATGAAATGAAAGAAAATCTTTGTAATTGTGTAAAAAAATAAATTTATTATTTAAAAAGTTTAATATGTACTCGTTCTTAATCATAATATAGGCCAGGCGTTAGTAATCATTTCACTGTTTTTTTTTAAAAACAGGTAAAATCTAAATCTCTTGAAAAATTGTACATTTTTTGAATTATACACTAATTAAATATCCTATATAAATGTATTTATAAAAATTATTATTAATTGAAGTTCCGAAGCATATTTTTTAAAAAATAATAATAAAAAATTGAACAGGCATACAATTGAAGAAACAATTATAAAAGCTACTATCTAATTATCTTATATTTTGGATCGAGTAAAATTTTTAGATGATGTCTTATATTATAATTTAAAAGAAGTGAAATCAAATTTAAATAGTTTAGTAATGTACTACATGAATATATAATTGAAAGAGGCAATAAAAATGGAGACAAAAGGAAGATTGAAATTTATGTTAATAATTGAGTCTTATTTTGCTCTGTTTTCTTTACAAGACCTTCTCATTAAATCCATCCTTAACAAAATTGAGAGAGAGAGAGAGAGATCAAACTTCAGGTTGGATGGAAAATTGAAAATCAAAATGCGCCGTTTCATTAATTATTTATTATTTATTGTAAATTGCAAACGGGTAGCCGAAATAAGCTCCCTCTCTCCCTCTCTCCATATGTATATAGCTGGTCATGTGTGGTCTCTTGTGCAGAATCTTAATCTCTGTTTAACTGCTCAGCTACACATTGGAAATTATGTCAGTTTTTTCTAACTTCAAGTAATATTACTTCAAATGATTCATTTTACTGCCTCACTCTTCACAATATTGTCCACAAAATCACCGACCAAATCAAAATTTCCAACTCGTGTCTCTTGTCTCCTCCAAAGTATTACTATTCCTCTCATCCTCTGTTCCTATGAGCCTTTAAGTATTTCCTTAACCTCCAAAGTGGATATTATATATATATATATATATATATATATATTATAATATATCATATGCGCACCTCTTCACTATCTAATATGCTATATAACATTAGGCCGGTCATATGGTATTTTCGGCTCCTTAGAAAGTGATTCCATGTCAGCAGATCGAAGGGATATTTGGCTTCTGCAAAAACAAATCATCCCTAAATGTGTGTGTATTTCTCTGTATAAATAAAGGTACTAAAAATTGGACTTGCAGTGGTTAATACACTGATTTAAAAATTCAAAATCATGGTTAGATTGATTATGAACAAGGTATTTCATTAAAATGATTAATAATTTATGGGTTCAACTGATCAAATTGGCTCAGCTTTAAATGATATGAGAGAGTGTAATATTTTAGTTTTCAAATTAAATTTAAATACAAGGCTTTTAATTTAATGTGCATATATTTATTTTCATAGTATGGAATTCGATTCAACTTGTTTAGTTTAACTAGTATTTTAACCAATTTAATAAAATATTTCATTTATGATCAATTTAATTATAATTTAATTATAATTTTAATTATTAACTTTTGAATCATTATATTATGTGGTCTAATGAACAATTCAGTTTTCAATATGTTAATTATTATATGTTGAGAGATAAGATTGGTTGAGAGAGGCTCAAATTCAAACTTAATTTTTTATTTATTTTTTCTTTTTTTTTTTCCCTTCAAAACCTTCTATAAAAGTCCCTCATACTGCCCAACATATAATCCTCCACACCTTCATCAACTCTCTCGCTCTCTGCGCTTCTTACTTCAGACTCTCTGTCAAAACGTAATATAGAGACAACAACTTAGAAAAATCATCGTCGTCATCATCATCATCATGTGTCACCTTCGATCTCCTGATCTTCTTCCCTGCAAATGCAATCCAAATTCCGATTACCTTAAACACCCAGAACCAGAGATTTCGGACCCATTCATCCCTAGACCGGCGACTCACTTCCATCTCTCTAACGCCTTCAAAGAGTTTGTCTCTATAGCCAAGATAGCTCTTCCCATGATCCTCACCGGTCTTCTTCTCTATTGCCGTTCTATGATCTCCATGCTTTTCCTCGGCCGCCTCGGCGAGCTCGCCTTGGCAGGTGGCTCCCTCGCCGTCGGATTCGCCAACATTACTGGTTACTCCATTCTCTCCGGTCTGGCCACCGGAATGGAACCCATTTGCGGACAAGCTTTTGGGGCTAAGAGATTCACCATGCTTGGTCTCTGTTTACAGAGAACGATTCTTCTTCTGGTTTTCACCTGTGTTCCCATATCTCTGCTTTGGATATATATGAAGACAATTCTTCTCATGTGTGGTCAAGATGAAGCCATAGCCACACAAGCCGAATCCTATCTTGTTTATTCTATCCCTGACCTCTTGGCTCAATCGATTTTACACCCATTACGGATTTACCTTCGAAGTCAGTCCATTACTCTGCCTCTAACACTCTGTGCCATTTTCTCTGTTCTTCTTCACGTCCCCATCAATTACTTGCTCGTTTCTCATTTTAATCTGGGAATCAAAGGCGTTGCTCTTGGTGGGGTTTGGACGAACTTCAACCTCGTCGCTTGTCTAATCCTGTACATCGTTTTCTCAGGAACGCATAAGAAAACCTGGGGAGGTTTTTCTTTCGAGTGTTTCACGCAATGGAGGTCGCTTCTCAATCTGGCGATTCCTAGCTGCATTTCGGTCTGTCTCGAATGGTGGTGGTACGAGATCATGATTCTTCTCTGCGGGTTGCTTCTGAATCCGAAATCAACCGTAGCTTCCATGGGCATTTTGATCCAAACCACTTCTTTTCTCTACATTTTCCCATCGTCTATAAGCTTCAGTGTTTCAACCAGAGTTGGGAACAAGCTTGGCGCTCAAGAGTCATCAAAAGCGAAGCTCTCTGCTATTGTGGGTCTCACTTGCAGCTTCGTCTTGGGTCTCTCTGCTCTGGCCTTTTCTGTAATGGTGAGGAACGTGTGGGCCAGCATGTTCACTGGGGACAAAGAGATTATAACCCTGACCTCTATGGTTTTACCCATAATAGGTCTCTGTGAGCTCGGAAATTGCCCACAAACAACAGGGTGTGGAGTTTTGAGGGGCACAGCGAGGCCAAAGGTTGGTGCTAACATAAACTTAGGATGTTTCTACCTTGTCGGAATGCCTGTGGCCATAGCTCTAGCTTTCTTCGCTGGGTTTGATTTTGAAGGTCTCTGGTTAGGGCTTCTGGCTGCACAGGGCTCGTGTGCAGTGACGATGCTGGTGGTTCTGAGTCGAACGGATTGGGAATTTGAGGCACAGAGAGCAAAGAAACTCACAGAAACAGGGGAAGCTGGAGGTGATGTGGTGGAGAAGACAGAGAAGATGCTCAGAGATGAAGAAAGCCAGCAAGATTCTTCTTAGGGACGATGATTCAGATGCAGAAGCTAAGCTAAGAAATCGTGGGATTGATTAACTAATTTAATTTCCTTTACTAAACCAAGAAGGACGAAAAAATTGGAGGAAAAAAAAATCTTTAAAAAATTTGTCTTTAGCTGTATAGGGTAGTAGATAGAGCAGAAAGAGACGTAGACTTTTAATTTTTAGTTTTTAATTTTTAATTTCGGTAGAAGGGGATGATGAAGGGTAAGGGCGCGCCACTTCCAAGAACAAATGCTATTTCCTGTGAAATTCAAATACTACATTTTACAAAGCGTTGAATCTCATAGGAAGTAGCAACATGTATTAATTTCCAAGGAATAACCATTATTGCGGTAACCTGAAGTTGATAGTCTGTTTTTTTCCCCCTTGTTTTTGCGTTGCATGTTTTCTCCCTTTCAGCCTCATGCTCCTTTCTTCAAAGTTAGTCCTTTTAATTAATTTCACACTACGTTTAGAGAGAAATGATAGTTATACTTAATAAAAGAAATGTTAGTTATAACTTTAAAATTAAAAAAAATATGATTTCCTAATTTTATCCTTTTTTTTGTAATTTGTAATCAGAATAAATTGTTATTATGAATTTAATTGATGATAAATAAACAAGTGGTAAAAATGAACGAAAAAAACATTAATTACTCTAACTTTATTTTAGATTAAAAGCTAAAAAAGCTTTCAAACTTCAATTTTATATTGAGCATTGAATAGTATAATAGTATAAGATACTTTTTAAATTATCATATTTAAAATATAAAGCATTTTGAGTTTTTAAAGTATACTTATGCTTAATACATTTTTTTTTAAATTCGTAATTAGGGGTGCACTTCTCACTTTCAGTATAGTTATCAAACTTTTGAGTGGACTCTTTGAGTTTAATGCTTTTATATTTTTAACTAATAAAATCATAGCAACTCACTTATAAATTTAAATTAGATACAAATTTAGTTAAACTCGCAAGTTTACTTTTAAATTTACCGTTTTTACATTTCTAACTTACAAAATTATGTCAATTAATTCATAAACTTATACTAAATATAAACTTGTTAAACGTCTTAAACTCATCATTTTTTTTATTGAGTTGAGTGAGTTAAGTATATACTACATAGTATTTAGTTCATAGAAGTGATAGGACTTGGTTCAAGCAGGAAAAAAACTTAAAAAGCAAAAACTAATATTAATAAACAAAAGAAAACAAAAAAAAAACTAAAAATAAGTTACCCTATTACAAAATTTATGTTTTGTGTGATAATCTATCAATGTAGATTGATTTAATTTCAATGATTTATATTTAAAATATATTTAAATAATTAAATTATGGTCATAATTTATATTTTAATTATTTAATCATATATTTTTAATGACTATTTATTAATAGAGACAAACTTTCATGAATTTACAATTCTATTTTGTGATCTGAGTTTACATTTCTATCATGAATATATTTAAATTTGTGAGTTTGACAACCTTGCTCCCCAGTTTCTATATATAGAAAATTTTCTAAAAGTTTATTTTATTCTTAAGTGTAAGGGAGTATCATTGAACCCTAATATTATTAGTTTCAACTTATTTTTTGTGTGTCAATGATTGTCATTTAAAAAAATTAAACTTAATATGTTAATATTTGATAATGTTTGTTACTCCCTTCGTTAAAAAATATAAGGTATTTTTAGTCTTTCAAGATATAATTATTTTATTTTTTTTTCAAAAGTATCATTATTGATGAATGACTTTATATTTATTATAAGGTGTTCAATAGAAGTAAATATAAAAAGATAAAATTAATTTTAAAATAAGTAACTACTTTATTAGAGAAAAATTTGATTAAAAATGACTTACATTTTTAGATGAAAGGAGTACTATTTAATAATTCAATGTAAGAATTTTTTGTAACAGGGTTAAATAATTGAAAAGATATTTTATAAAATTAAGAAACTAAAATAAAATTTTATATAAAATTAAAAGACTAAAAGTATATTTTAAATTTTTTTTTTGCTTTTATCTTTAGTTTCAATTTATAATGAGTGAGAAAAAATTATAATTTTGCAAGGTAGAAAAAAATAATACCAATTACTTATATTTTATACCAAAATTGGCTAGGAGAATGTTTTGGATCGGAGGGAGTAATTAATAATGTTTTCTAATTAAACAATATATATAATGTGTTTCTATTAATTGAATATGTCACATATCAATAAAAATTTATTTTCCCCATGATGTATTTTAGCTGAAAGCATATAAAACCATAATATTTTTTCAATTTTGCCTTAATTTCATAATTAATATCATGGTGTTAAATAAAGTACATAATTAATATATTCTCTTCTTTGCAAGACAATATGATCAATATTATTTAATTATTCAAAAATATCATGACGGCCCTTATAAGAATAAAATAAGCTTTTAAAAAACACCATATATATAGAAATAGTAATGAAAGGAGTATTAAATAAAGATAAATATAATTGTATAATTTTAAATATTATCAACTAACTTATTGAGAGATGTAAACTAGTTAAAAGTGTCTCTTAAATTGAGGGAGTATTATTTAAAAAACAGTTAATTACTTCCTTATTCTAACTATCATTGGCTCATTCGGTCCCTCCCCCCCGCGCCCTTTGTTCTGTTATTTATAAATTAAAATAAATAGTCACAAAGCTCCAATTAAATACAGATGATAAGCAAGCTTTGTGCAGCTTACTAATATATATTTAAACAATTAACACTCAACAAACAACAACAAACAACTTTATCTCAATATATAAGATTGGTTACATGAATTAAACGATATTATCAACAAGTACTACTAAACAAATTTTGAAGAAAAAACTAATGTTATTACAAAAGGGTCAACACTAAGTATCCTTTCTGGATAAAATTATTTAATTTACACTTACCAATAAAACAATTTTTAACTAATGTTTCTTATTTTTTTATTTTCCACTTCTACCCTCAATTAATACACATCATTTTCTTAATTACTTCAAAGTGGGCTAAGTCATTTTATTCACTGATTAGGGGTATTTTTAGGAAAAACATTACAATTACTCCAAGAAGATTGTAAATTGTTACACACACACACACACACACACACCATATATATACCACACCCTCCAAACTTTTTCCATATGATTAGGAAGGAAGGGAGTATATAATCCATATAAAAACTACAAAATCTGTCTCCTCCCTCTTTTTTGAATCAAAACATTTAATGTTAAAAAAATCATATTAAATCTAACTAATCCAAAAGAAAAGAGTTAAAATTCTATCAACAATTTTTTGGCATGGTTACATACCTAAAAGGCTAAAACTCTAACTTGAGATCACTAATTAAAGTAAATAATGTAGTTCCCAACCAGCTCAAAACTATCTATTTCTTTCTTTCTTCTTAGAGCGCATTTGGAAACATGTTTTCCCTACCAAAACTGTATTTTGACAAACTTGATTTTATTTTCGAACACTCTTTTCTTGGAAGCAGTAGTTCAGTGTTGTGATGAGTACCAATCTGGACCATCCAAATTTGATATTTTTTTATATTTTAATAAATTATTATTTTAATAAGTACAAAATTTAAAAAAAAGATAATTTTATAGCTGTCATCATTCTGTCAAAAAATAATATTTTATATAAAAAATTACAGTTAAAAATTTTTAAATCTTAACTATTAAAATCAGTTTTGGATGGATCAGATGTTTATCACAGTGATAAACATGTTTTCACGTAGATAGAAGAAGTCACATGTTGGGGAAACATGTTCCTGCAGCCAAAACTACATTTTGGCAAAAAGCAACCGCGTCTTGATAAGTTCGAATATTTTGTTTTCAATCACTCTCTTGTTCATACATGCATAGAAGAAGCGACTTTTTGGATATGGACTACACATTATTGTTATAACTTTTACATGATTTCATTGGAATTATATGCGTAATTAATAATTATGCCTCCTAAATGGTATTTTTATTATTATTGATGACATATAAATACATTGAGATGTTTAGTCCAATCTCACTCGTTGTTAGCACGTTAAATAAGAATGGGTTGCGTTCTTTCTGTATTTGAATTGGCAATAATTGACAGAAATGGCTTTTTGCATATATATTACAAGTGGCTATCAATTTTCATTCTCATTTCAAAGTGGATAATATAAAGGCACCATCAGTACTGGACGAGTGGTGTGACTCTTATTATTTACACTTTTATTAACATTATCATCACTACTTAATCTATAATAATTCATGACCATAAAAAAAAATCTGCCAAAAACATCTTCTTTGTGGCAATATTGTATTATATATTAATTATAAAAGAGCTAGCTTGTTTCAACAAGCTAAGTTGATATAATGGAGAGATCAAAAATATAACAAGCATTACATTACAATTTGTTGTGAGTCCACACACAAGTGGAATTTTGTTTTCCTTTTTTGTAATTTTGAAGTGTAAAATATAGAAATATAAAAAGGAGTTTGGTTGTGTGATGCTGAGAGCTTCCATGGATGACACTGTAGAACTTGACTGTGAATGTGAGGAGACTTGATGATATGATGTTTGACACCAAGTGCAAACTTCTAGTGGGCAACAAGACTTTTGTCCTTTTTCAATTTTTTTTTAAAGAATAAGATTAGCACATAGAACCCTTTAATGTAGCATGGAGAGAAAGATAATATAATTTTTTATGCATAAAAATTAAATCATATAATATTTATTCTATTCATAATTTTTTTAATAAAAAAAAGGTTAAGGAGTTGGTTAGGGGTTTATCAAGCACCAAAACAGGCCTTACAACTCAAACTTAAGAGTGTATATATTGTAAATGCATTTATAAGTTATCCATCAGTAAAGTCTCTTCATATTGTTAGAAGTATTTGAAATTAAAAAAAAAAAATCTTTTGATCCTTAAACTTATTCTCAATTATCAATTCAGTTACCTTGAACTTTGAGTTAAAACAACTCAGTCCATAGAGTTTTTTTTTTTTCCTTAATTTCAAACAATCCAGTTTTTATAATTTCTTTAACTCATTATAATTCAACCCAAAGTTCAAGGGCTAAATTTATAATTGAAAAAAAGTTTATGAACTAAAAGTTATATCATCTCTTAAGATCATTAATGTCACATTTTATAATATTAGTGGAAATACATAATAATTAAGAAAGGAATTTTGGAGATAATGATTTTCACCATGTAAAGTGAGCAACTTGCACTTCATTAATTGATGACCAAATTGATGATCAAATTGATAGATTGTGACAAGGGTCTAAGTCTGAGGCTTACGGGACCTCCTTATTTACAGATCTTTGCTGGTTGCTTTAACTTTTCTTTTCATAGATATACAATTATGTCAGCAACTATC